ACTCCCAGAATTCCCCAGCCAGCATGGCTGGCTGAGGAATTCTGGGAGTTGAAGTCCACCCAACTTAAAGCGGCCAAGGTTGAGAAACACTGCTTTAGACAGCTATATATAAAAGGATCCCAATCTTCCACTGAAGTTTTTTTTTTTTCAACAAACTTGACTCTTCCAACAAGAACGTTTTCTGAAAATGCTATGCCTGAAAACATTCTTGATTAGAGAAAAATTAATTGTTGCTGCTGATTTCAGTATTTTTACTTTTTATAGCAAATGCTTCTGTTCATACAATTACGCCAAGGGTGCACAACGTCTTCATCATCCTCATAACAACCATGAGGACATCTGGATCCAACCTAGAGTTGTTTCTCCTAGGCAAGGTTCATACCACATCTTAAACCATAATGTGGATTCTTTGATATAGGATTAGTGTGTTGTGTGATCCCAGTCAATTGTGGTCTAATGAGCCAACCTTAATGAAGCAAATTCTAGTTTAATGTTGAATGCTTTATGGTTGTTTGTTAGATTTATAATCTACTTTTTCTACGAAGTTTGATGGTTTATTTGATTATCTCTATTTTATCTTCATAACAAGATGGAGAGACAGTGATCAGTCTAAAGCCCCCCGGGGGCTACTGAGGCTGACTGAGGACCAGAACCTGGGTCTCCCATTCCTACTCCAGCATCTTCACCACTACCACACCCTGGTTCTGGGGCTGAGTAGGAAGTGCTGAACCAAAGTACTCCAGGGAGCCTCTTTAGCTGAGAGGGAACCAGAACCAGTCCTTCTCCACTCCTAGTCCAAGCACCTTCACCACAGGTAACTCACAGATGGTGTGCCTATAACTTAAACTATTTATGTTTGCTGGGTTCTAACAGCACACAGTCCTTTCCCAAATCCAGATCATCAGCTAAGGCTAGACTTAGCATTCCAGTGGCAAATACTAGGGGTCCAGGTTCAACCCCACAGCCAAAGACGGGGAAATCGATTTGCAGAGGAGAAGCACCAGGGAAGAGAACGAGGGGCATAACCCCAGTCTTCCAGGTCCTCCCCAAATTGGGAAAATGAGCAGAAGGGATAAGAGGAGCAATATGTCATTCAATGACTGTAACAGAAATTTGTTCATTCAGTCGTTCAGTGTCCGACTCTTCGTGACCCCATGAACCATATTGCGCCAGGCCTTCCTGTCCTTCACTG